CGTAATATGCGTTGCCTCTTTTCTTCGGGACACAAGCACCGTCGATAGATGTTCTCCATTGATAAATGTTTTTTTTTTTTTTTTATTTAGTACTACGTGGTGCGTAAAACATTTGTGCTTTACCATCTCACTTTACTAGTAGCAGCCCTGCCTTCTTGGACCTCAAAAAGTGGAAAAAAAGAAAAAATATTTATCTGTGCATTACATGCACAATTAGAGCTCGGAACGTGAAGAACTGCTAGGAGGGGAACGGTGCTCATGACATCTATTGACGCGCATATATACGCACGTACTCACAGTCGGTCGCAGCAGAATTCAGACGTTCCGTTCAATTCAGCAACGATTTCAACACAACCAGTGAAACTACCCCGACAGCCGCATCACAATCGTAATTACGTTGCATTTGAAGCGCGAGAACAGGAGGCACAACGAGGGAAAGAAGATATGACGCTGAAGGGCAGGGGGGCATGGGCGCGAGGTAGCTTGACGGTAGCGACCGGCTGACGCGGACATCCGCCGCTCTCAGTTCTCTCTTGATCCCTCTACAACAAACGATTAACGACGAACGCAATAGTCAGAGTGGTGTTGTGAACAGATCTGTCTCCTGCGTGTTTGCCTGTCGTTGTCGCTGGCGCACGTAGCGCTACTCGAGATGGACGGTTTTCCCTCTTATGAGCCTCTATTTCTTTAGGAAAAAAACGCACGAAAGATACGAATACTACTGCTGCTGCTGCTGCTGCTGCTGCTGTTAACGATACCCAGACCATCATCAGCATTAGTACATTTACCACTACTACAAGTACTAGTGCAACTAGAGTAAGTAGTAGCTTTTCAGCTTCTTTCTGTACTGATGATTTGATGCCTATCTTCTTAGTCGTTGCTTTACGTTGTCGCTCTTCTGCTGCTGTAGATGTGCCTCGCTATTAACGATACCCACTTGTTCTGTTTGTTACAAATGCTGACAACGAAATATTGGTGACTCTCTCTAGGCATACATACATGCGGCATAGAAATAAATCTATGGGTGCTTTTGAATGCTGTCAGGAACCAGGCGGCGAAGCGGCCAACCGAACGTAAGGCTCCAATTAAAGGCCCATGGCCGTGACCGGCTGCTGTTGCTGTCGAACCCAACTACTTGACCTGTCGTGGACAAACGTACCTTGCCTCCGATGGCCGAACGGAAACGTTTGTGACGGCATACCGATAGTCGAATTGTAGGCTGGCTCACGGGAATATAAAGCAGAAGCACGGACGAAGCAGACAACTTAACCTAGTTCTTTTCGTTGTATTCGAGCTTCTTCGAGGAAGTAAGCCGCCAGGGCTATGTTCGTACTCAGTACAAATACTTGCTTTTGTATGTGTATGTAGGTATGTTTTTCTAAGGGAATCAAAAACATTCTGTTCACAACGTATATTGAATGAAAAGAAGGAGAAAAACGTAACAAAACGTAATGAGTCATACTTGACTACCTGGCAGCGGTAATCGTGTACGCACATGAGACCACTCAGAATTTGATCTCCAATTCAGCACCGAAGTGAAGATAGATAATCGTATCGGAAATATATATATCGCCCTTTTCTTTTATGGATATGTTCATGCATATAAAACACGGCAAGGCTGCTGGTCAAGACTCTGTAGCCAACGAAGCGGGTTACACTTTTAAAACTCGATTTAATAACGAATTAAGATAGAAGTTGGGAAAAAATAGTCTATTGTTTCTGCTTAAATGCGTACACACGTATACAATGAGTGCACTTATAAAAATGCATGTTGTCCTTTAAAAGCAGCTATACCAGTCAATATCGAACTCAATAAAATCTAGGACTGTATTAAAAATGAAGCGTCTTGGAGAATCTAAAAGATGATGAACAAACTTTGGGTTTAGGCCTTCTAAAATTTTACAAACGTTTGGTGGAAGGAGCATTATCAAGCGACAATCCTACTTATTGACGATGACTATATATA